TTCTTCCACCTTCCTTTCTCCAGATCCATGCACAGCAGAAACAAACCTTCTTCTATGCAAAACAGATTTTCAGTGTTGACAGTGGGTGAGGAGGGAAGCCGTGCCAAAGCGCTTCTGCAAATTTTATTGCAAATGCTCCAGTACTGTTCTCTTCTGCACTCACAGCTGGCACTGTCTTAGCTGCTCTCCCCCACAGAGACAAGGCATTTAAGCTGCTCATGCGCAGTCTCAGGCAAAGGCAGACGGGTGAGGAAATCCTCTAGAAGCCAGTTTGCCTTTCCATATTATTAAAAACAAAACAAAAACAAAACCTCTAAGGTGCATCTGACTATTATTCTGCCTTATTAAAAAGCATTTCTCTTTCATGAGGAAATACAGATTTTCTTTCACAGCTCCTTGCAAGCAGCCATCCCAAAGACGATTGGCCAGTTTTCACTTGGGGAATAAAAGCCCAACTCTAAAAGAGCCATTTAACTGTGACCAGTTTCATCAGAGCTCACAGAACAAAGGAAAAGCCCTCGTCATATGGCCACTTCTCAGTACTGAGACTCCAGCAGATCAGTACATTCGCTTGTTCCCGAGTCTGGTTTTTGTATAATTAGCAGCCTCCTTTTTTAATCCACAGAATGACCTAATGCATCAATACTTTAGAGGTTATAAAATGCATTCATTTGCATTCAGCTATTAACGCTAACACATACGACCTAAAGAACCATTAAGAATGCCTCCTCCCCAAGAATCTATGCAACAACAGGAAAAAATGAGTAGGCTAAAAATATCCCTCCTCACACGTCCCTGAGCAACATTAATTCCTTCTGCTTTCACTCTCCACTGCTGTATCCAAGGCAGAGCTCTTAATTTACATCCAAAAAGCAAGACTAATAATTTGCTTCGGAGACACAGAGAAGCGTTTGTCAAACTAGAGGAAAGCACAGATGATGAAAGGTATTGTTCAAAATGAGACTATAAATAGAGACTATAAATAGAGTTTAAATGGCCATCATAGCTCAGTACTGTTTATTGCATAGACATGCAGGCTGTAATTATTTTCTTAAAAACTGGAGAAACTTTTATCTTCACTCAAATAAGTCTGGCAAGATCACACTTTATCCACTGAAGGCAGATGCCATGACTATTTGCTTAGTAGTAACATTGGACCAGCAAGTCGTTGCATTGTCCCGCCAAGATGTGGAAGTGAATCTTACCCATATTTCTGCTGCTGATAAGCAACCTGGAAGTGGGCCAGTAGTGGTGGCAAGATTCTTAGGCATTTGGCAGGACAACACTAGCTTCTAAAGTGGCTTAATCCTATGAAATGCTACTATGTGATCCTATATCAGGTTGGTGGTGAAAAAGTTGCTTGGTACTAGTTGTTTTGACTCTTCTGCCATTGTTCTACCACTAACAGAAAATACTGAAGTATTTCTACTAGCATATAATCTCCATGCAATCTTAAAACAAACTGCAGAATGTCCCCCTGCCACACAGAATTGTAAAATCATGGAGTTGGAAGGGATGCTGAGGACCATATAGTCCAAGCCCCTGCAATGCAGGAATATGCAGCTGCCCATACAGGGATCGAACCTGCAACCTTAGAGTTGCCAACACCTGCTATAACCAACTGAGCATGCCACTGCAATCTTTGAGCTGAGTTCATCCTGATCCCTCATTCCTGGAAACAGGAACCATAGTCAGAGAAAACTGAGACACAGAATATTATTGTTTATACCCTACTCATCTGACTGGGTTGCAATGAGCTGAGACCTAGAGAATCTGTACTACAGGGCATCTTCCTATGTTTTGAAATATAAAGAAGACTGAAACTGGCCAATGCAAGAATTGAACTGATGAGAAATTTAATTTTTATAAGTAAAAAACATTGAAAATGAGGAAGTTGGGTTCTTAAGCTTGCAGTACAAATTTGCAAATATTCCTTTGCTTTGCATTCTTTATTCTCACTCTGCTAGTTATGGGGAAGGGGAAAGCGCTTTTCTAGGCTGGCCCTACAAACCTTGGGAATCCTATTCAGGGAAGTTCTCCCCATCCCACTTGCTATTGCCTTCAAACTTCTGAACAGATCTAAGAGCAGGGAAACCTTGCTTTTAATTTTTTAAAAATAAATTAAATTAAAAAGTAAGTTGAGATACAAGTGACAGCACTGTACCTACTCCTAATTTTTGCACACGTATGGTACAGCTATAGGATCCACACCATAGCAGATGCTGCAAAGCTTGCCATGTGCCTGTCCCAAGGTTTATCACTGCAAGAGCTTTTACTCTTCCTGTCACATGCAGAGAATTAGTCCCAAAGTGGGTCAAACTAGGAGGAACTATTGCATAGATATCCTATTAGTTACACTTGAGAAGGCTTCAATAGCTAACCTCCAAACTTGGGTTTGGCCTGGTGGGTCAAAGTCTGAGACCCTCTGACCTACAGCTTTAAGCAAATGAATAATTTACCCAGACGTCTGTGAAATCCATTGATTGCACATATGCGACTATAAGCCCGTGCACATCCTCTCACGCCCTTGATGTGTCATGAAGACATCATTCATCCATGCTATGGTTCCTGCCTCAGGAAGCTCTACAGAACATTTTTGGGACACCAGCGGGTTGGAAGGGAACCCATCCCATCTTAATGTATTTGGAATCAGTCCAAACCACATCCTTCAACACCCCTGAACGGAATCTGCCGTGTGTAAAAGACTCAAATTGCTGAAGTGAGACTTTTCTGCTACCAAGCAGGAGTTGTCTAACAGTCTGATCTGTTCATGATTACTTGCTGTGAGTGGTGCTTACTCCCAAGTAAGCACACAGAGCTACAGGTGAAGGCCTATTTTTATGACTAGCTTCTTATCGAAGTTGTTTATTTCTATAAAAAGATTACCGGAAAGGAAGAGGTGAGATAACCAACAGACAGCCCAGAATGGGATTTAACTCTGAGCTCATGGAAAACAAGCAGACTTTGTGCTTCAGTTGCAACTGCACTTCTTGTGCAACTTTAACACAAAACGAAGGGAGAATAAAAGTTAGTTACTTAAAAAAAAACACCTGAGCACCCTTAGGATCTGACCGTGCTATTGTTTGACTGTCAACACTTATGGTATGATTCCATCCCATTCAGAAAGGGAGTTCAAATAACATATGGAACCTTTTTATCATTATTGGGCTGCAATCGCTTAAACACATACCCCATGCCAGATGCTTCAATTGGAGAAGCATTTAATAATGTTGTTGCAGCAGCTTCCAAGTGTGATGCAGTAACTTATCAGCCTGTAAGGCCTAGGACATTTTTTAAAGGCCTCTTACATGATGGCCTCACAACATACGAAAAATGACTCCCTTCTAGAATTGCACCTTCTAGAATTTTATTTATAGAAATAAAATATATCCCACAGTGGCTTAAAAGAGACAAGCAATTTGAAACCCTATAAAACACCAAAAATATACACTAATAATGTTCAGCAGAATTAAATCAGTATTTAGATCAATTTCGATATGGGTTGAGTTCTGGCCACTCTGATGGATGACCTTTACAGAGAGTAGGGCCAAGGAGAATGAGTGCAATCTTGCTCCTGCTTCTCAGTCTTTCTGCAGCTTTCAATATCATTGACCAGAGGTTTTCAACCTTTTGAGTCCACGGCTCCCTTGACCAACTACATTCTTTCTGTGGGGAAACAGGCTCTGAGCCCCAGAAGCCCTTGCCTGTAGAGCCAGCAGCCCCTCACCCCTTTTCGAACACCCTCCCTTGTGGGGTGTTCCCTTAGCCTCCTCTCCTCTCTCCTTGGGAGTCCTCCGGGTGGCTACCAACCCAGTCTCTGAGCTGCCCCCACCCCAAAGAGAGGTGCCTCCTCCCTGGCTAGCACCAGAGGCTTCATTCGCCTGGAGAGCTTGTAGCCAGGGCTGCTGCAACAAACAGCTGTGCACACCTTTGGGAGGCAGAGACACAATAGGGCATCAGAGAAGGAAAGAGGGACAGAGGCCCGTGTTGCCTAAGCACCCTTGACCGTAATTCAAGGCACCTCAGGGTGCTACGGCTCACTGGTTGAAAACCGCTGTCATTGACCATGTATCTTCCTGGACTGGCTCTGCGGGAAGGGAATTAGAGCGCTGTGTTACAGTGGCTCCAGTCCTGTCTACAGGACCAAGTCCAGGAAGCGTTAACAGGAGAGTGCTTTTTGACCCCCGGTCGAAATGCTATGTGGTGTGGCTCTGAACTATTCAATCCCCAGTGCTATCTATCTGTGGAACTGGCACTATTACAGATGCCTCATAACACCTGTTCCACACCTGTAAGTCAATCTTTTAGTGTGGCAGCATCTACAACTTTGGAACTCCTTGCCTATTGACATCAGGCAGGTGTCTTTCCTGTATTCTTTTTGGTGCGTGCTTAAAATGTTTTGTTTTTGCTTTTTGTTCAAGCAAGCCATTCCAGACATGTAGAAGCTTACGTGTGTTTTTAGCTACTGTTGTTTTTAATCATCTTTTGACTGCTTTCAAATAAACTGTTATCAATAATTTTAATGTTTTATTTTATATTTTTGTAAAGCCATCAAATGGCATATAAAGCTTGTTTATAAATAAAATGTATTTTTAAAAAGTATAAACATAAAAATAAAATGTTCCCTTTTCCTACATAGGTCAGCATTTGACTCTACTCAAAGTGCCCTGTTCCCAATGCAGTTTGTGGCACTAGGGATCAAATTGCAGATGCAAGACCATGAATACTGGAATATAATCAAAGGAAAATGAAAAAGCCCTTAGTGACAGTGCTGATTAATTACCAAGGTCACTTGACCTTATCTACTTTCTACTTGTTTGATACAAGCACTCTAATTAGCTACCCCTTTTTTCCTTGAGAATCAAATCACCATACTACTGTGGAACAATGAACCAGAGAAGAGATACACTTGCAATTATTGGCATTTACTAATAAGATAATGAATTTTAGCCTTTTTTTTTTTTACAGGGACTTGGAAGTAATTAAATAATATTTCATACCTTTACATACTCCATAGCTGGGTCCATAGCATTCTGATCTCTGCAAAGGAGAAGTACAGCAATGAGTACAAAGGTTTTGTCTGATTTAGAACAAAATCAACATTTTATTTGCTTTTTGGATCAAGCGGCATGAATAATGCAACACACTACACACACAAGTTGAAAGCTTAGGAACTGTAGAGCATCTGTTTATTTATCTGCCATTGTTATAATTCACATACTATGTGCATCATGATCATGTTCATCTGATCGTATTCAAAGGCAGAATTAGAACAAGTTTACACAACCACTTTATGCGATTGTTTACAATTCATGCTCACCTTTTAAAGAGATGATTATATGAGCATGCCATGGCCAAATAGGAAAAAAATACTGAAGACTGCATCTCTCTCATTTATATTTCTTTAAAAACCAGATGCAAGAAGGTGTGAAACTGCTCAAGTAAATGAATCCATACTATCAAAGGCACACATCAGAAAAATACAGGACTGTACTGTGTTGTAATAATAAAGGGAAACCATCACAGAAGTAGTCTCTCACTTTGGTGAAGGGGCCATTTAAGTTGAATATATCCAAGAGGGCCTTTAAATGTGTCTGATGATCAAGCTCTTCCCCAAGTGAAATAGAAATCACAGCTGTGGCACACATTCAGTTTGGATTGTCAAAATGTCAACACATATTGAAAATAAACACACAAAAGTAACTGAAGCCCTTTCTATGGATTTCTTAACTCCAAAGAAGAAACTCCTGAGATAACACATGAGGCAGGCCTGGAAACGATGCAATAACGAATTCTATTTACAGGTAGGTAGCCGTATTGGTCTGCCATAGTCGAAACAAAATAAAAAAAAATTCCTTCCAGTAGCACCTTAGAGACCAATTAAGTTTGTTATTGGTATGAGCTTTTGTGTGCATGCACACTTCTTCAGAAATATAGAACAAATTCTATATTTGCTTTCAACTTACTGTGTTGACTATGGGTTTTATACAAAGTATGGGATGGTATTAGTTCTATTCAAACAAACAGTGAGCTATGCCAAAAGTTACAAATGAGATGTGGACTGTACCCATAGTCTTAATTCTTCAGAACCACAAGAACTAGAAATCAATTGCATACACAGGCTATCATTTTACTGCATTTTCTACCACACTTTTTATCACATATCTGCACTTGGAAGAGCAATCAAATCATTCTTAACTCTTGGCAGTGAGATACAGATGATCAAGCTACTTCAAGGATACGTTGTCCAAAGGAAGCTTGGCTTACTACAGTCATCCTGCCAAACAGTAACAAAAGTATTATAACACACCCTTCCAACAACAACTCAGTGTGCCGCACCACAACATCTTGTCTTGTGAAAGTTTCATTTGGATGTTCAAATTCATCTATTCTGGAGTAAATATGAAGAGGGCCAGCTGTGAATGTGTTTGTTTGTCTAAGGCGGCAATGAAAGTAAATCCCACTGAAATCTGAGGGCCTTACTTTGCGGTAAACACATTTAGGACAGATTGTGCTGTATGACGAGCATCTTCTTAGAGGACGTTTGTTAAGTTGATCTTCTGCTTGTAACTTGATATCCTATTTCAAAAAAATTTAATGGGCTGCAATTTACTTTCTCTGGAGCCAATTTGATAAGGAATTCTGTTTTCCAGTCTCTGCATTGTTTCAGAAAAGATTATTTTAAGCTCTCCAAAATCCAGAAGTCTATAAACTGAGGTCCAGTATTCATGCTCATCTGACTTAAACGACATATGCACAGCTTCTGTCCTGGCTGGGATACAAAACTAAGGTAGCAGCAGAGTAGAGCAAGGTACCAGTTCAGGGTAGAAACGAAGACTGGACCAGATTAAATACAAATGTCTCCCATTTGCCCCATGTGTGGACTCATACTGGGGAGCAAGAACATGTTTTAGCTCCCTGTCCACCAGAGACGTAGGAAGGGGGGATGATGGGAATTGTAGTCTCAAAACATCTGGAGGGCTGAGTTTGAGGAAGCCTGATAATAAGCTTTCTCATATTGACTTGCCATCTATCTCCCCACCCCACAAACCAAAGACAGCTGGCTACAGGCTTCCGTACCTATGTGAAAACATTCCCAGAGCAGTGCCTCTTAAGGTTATCAGCTACAATCCCCCTCAATTTATTTCTCTGCAAGCAACATATTAAAGAGACCAAGAAAGAAAACAAACCGCCACTGTTACAGTCTCTTACCACCAATTCTAATTAGCCATGTTTATGGGGTCACCAGAGATAAATCAACAGGATTACAACTGTGCTCAAACACAGCTGCTCATTGAGACCTTGAGTATCAGTTGCAGTTGAAAGCTTGTTTCGCTGCCTTAATAAGCCATCTTTCATCTGGCATTATAAAAAGTTCCTAGTTAAAAGGGATCTTAACTTTCTGTAAGAACCCACCTACATCACTACCTCCCTGGGGTATCTTTTGCTGTTTGCTTACAGGCTGCTTTCTACTTGCATATATGATGAAATCAAGTAAGCCGTGGGGCTCACACAAGTGTAGAGTTTGCACTGTATGTTTGGCTTCCCAGTCATCAGATAAGTCTTATTTCCATGTCAACAAAAGAGCATTTGATGTAGAGAGTAGCTCATTAGCATTGGAAAGGAAAAGATGTTTTGTTCTTTAGAAGATAAGAGAACAATTATAACAAAAAGCAGCTTCTCAATTGAAGAATAGCATCAATTTAGGAACTATTTGGGGTGACATCACAGACACTCAGAAACTGCACACTAGAGGCAAAACAACCCAATGTTGCTTGCCTTTAGAGGAGGTGATAAGCAAACTTTCAGCAGGGGGCCGGTCCACTGTCCCTCAGACCTTGTGGGGGGCCGGACTATATTTTTTGGGGGGTGGGATGAATTCCTATGCCCCACAAATAACCCAGAAATGCATTTTAAATAAAAGGACACATTCTACTCATGTAAAAACACGCTGATTCCCAGACCGTCTGTGGGCCGGATTTAGAAGGCAACTGGGCCGGATCTGGCCCCTGGGCCTTAGTTTGCCTACCCATGTTTTAGAGTGCTAACCTTTTGGATGCATCAACATTTCCCTCCAGTTTTAAGCATCTCTCTCACACACACATACCTCTGACTTGCTCCTAAATAAGATATTTCTATTCAAAGCAGCAAGGACATTACTGTTAGTATGATAGCATACTGCAGTTGTGCTGGATCCAGAGAACAACTCAGTTGTAAGCCCTTTTTAGGGTGAAGTCTTGGTGTGGTGCTTCAGTGCTGGAAGAAGAAATATTCGCCTTCCATACATACAAAAATTGATTAACAATTTTCACTCCATGTCCCTATCTGAGCTGACAAAGTTTTGATGTGACTGCAAAAATGAAAATACACAAACACTAAAATGAGCCTTTCTTGAGACATATGTCCCATAGATGGCAGCCCAGTTTATTTGTGTTCATAATTTATATTGTTAATGTACAAGATGAGAGCATTAATAAAATGAAATGAATGAAACAAATTTGGAAAACTATGGTATCCTTTTATTGAATTTGCATGTAAAAAGGGGAAACCATTTTGCACCACCTTGAATGCATGGTAACCTATGGAAAACTGATCTTGGTTAAATGCAGTGCTTTTTTCTTTAAAAAATGTTTAAGGGTACTCTCATTTTCCTACTCATATTGAAATACTGCTCCTCAATGAGGTCAATAATCTATAGCATTTTAGCACTGCAATTTGCACACAATATTTGAATACAGTCTTTGAACAGTATTACCACACCAAAAATAAAAGCTAAAAAGCAGTTTCCTTTAGGTTTCAAATAGCTCCACTTCTGTCATCTACCAAGCACTTCACAGCTGGACTCCAATTCATTATCAATGCTCATTCTGAGGACTCTTAGATGCATAAATCTCTTGAGATGAGAATGCATTCTTTGGCATTTTGGTATTTGTCAATTAAGTTAACAAACACGTACCACTCCTCGAGTACATGGCATGTGCTCATTTCACAAGTAAAGAGTTGTCCGTGTGTGTCAGTCACTAGTTCAGGAGATTTGAAACTGAGTAAGCGTGTAAGTGTAAAACAAATTAGAAAGGCTTCCCCTACCCAGACTTAGAATCACCAGAGCAAAATGTGAAAGCTAAGACACAGAGCATTGCAGTGAAGCTGGATCTCGGAAGCCTTTTTAAAACAGAAGAACCAAGTGTTTGGGGGACAACTATATTGTTCATTAAGTTCCTTATAATACCATTCAAACCTGAACTGTGCAAACAGAACTCCTATAGAGCTTCAGTACAGCATTCGCTGCCAGCAGCTTCTGAACTTACTGCAGTTCTGGGGCAGGCCATTACAAATCGTTCCTTGGTGGCACTGTGCTTACTTTTCCCAAGCTCCCAGCATGCAGCTCTACTCCTCCTGTACACAATCTGCATGTCAGGGGTGGTGTGGGGAACAGCAGGTGTTAGGATGTTTGCAGTTAAGGTGCAGAAGGACCTTGACTGGACTTACATGGCCCGACTTGAGCATTTGCCAAACTATACCTGTATGTGCAACCAAGACTTCAGGAATACATTAGGATTCAAACGCCAAATCAAATCCCAACCAGGTCAACAGGGTATCTTATCCATCTACCAAAGAAGAATGCTGGTATGTGAACTCTATATACCAACATTGCAACAGACCACACTGTGCTCATAGGAAACTATTTGTGGCTTCCAGTTCTCTGAAAATTCACTTTTCTTTTCTTTTCTTTTTAGCTGAAATGCAAATAAGTGATCTCAAATGCCAAGAGGTCAGAATGGAAGTTATTCATGCCTGAGGGTTCCAGGTTATGCTCTCCCTCTACCCCTCCCCATTTTGCTCCTCTTTTACATCAGCAATGGACACAGCGTTACCAAATGGTGCTGCAACAGTAATTTCCTGTATTGGCAGGGAGTGGGAATAAATGACCTTTGAGTTACCTTCCAACTCCAAGATTCCAAGTCAGATGAGGCTTAGGGAAGCTTGGCATGAAGTCAAAGAGCCAGGAGACAATGCCTACCAAGCAGTCTTGAGTCACC